CCCTGCTTAGGCCGGAAACTATATCATTGATTAGTTTCCATCCATTGCTTCTTGTCCTGCCTTCATGTGCTTTGGAGAATAGCTTGACTGCCTCTTCTTTGTGGCAACCCTTGATATACATATAATTACATATAACTGGGCCTTGTGGAACAGACTTAACAACTGAAATTTTGGGCTTAATTGTAGTCATAAGTTGAGGACTAACTGTATCTGGACACCCACAGATTCCTTACCTCTGAAGCACAGGGTTCTATTTCAAGTGTCACCCTCACACACCGTTATGAAAACAAATGCAGCACTATGCCAAATACTTGTCTAAAATTGTCTAATTTAGGATCCTTTTATAAGGAAAAGGGTTTTTTTCCCTGATAAAATAGGACATTTCAGTTATCATTACAAGTCCAATCAGCACTTTAAGAAGGGTATAATAAGCAGATCACAATGTATGTTCTGGAAGAACAAAAATAAACTATGTTCAAACCCACTAATATTATCTAGGAATGTAGAAAGCTGTCTGGTATTGAGTCAAATCCCTGATCCACCTATTACAGTATTATCAGTACTGATAGATAGTGGCTCTCTAGGGTTCTAACTGGTTGAACTTGGGACCTCATGAAAATAATATGCTAGCTAGTACAGACATGAGGGTGGAGCTGTGGACAAGAAGGTGAATATCTCAGCAGAAAAGTAGTCATCCCTTGAAATCAAATTACAGAGTATGTTTTTATGGTGTTATTCTATTTTCCTGTCCCATGAAATACCCTTCTTGGCTCCAATTCTGAAGAACAAATGTTTATCTCCCATTTGACACTTCCATCAATTATTACTTTACTGAAACAGTTCAATAGATAATAAATGTTCAGTAACTCATAGAATTAACTGATTTAGCCAAGTTTCTGTACCACACCCCACTATCTAAGCTTCTCCATTCCAGGCTACTACATTTGTGGGAGTTTTATGAGGTTTCTGATTGGGACAGCCCTTTCAGTTTAATTCTTTAGCTAAGCTATGCACATGCAAGAATATACTGTATTATTGATTACTTTCACTTATTATTAAGCTTAGAAGTATTACAAATTTCTGCTACATAAGAGAAGGGGTAGAATTGAAGTAATCCTCAATACTGAAATTGAGAGGAATAACTGAGATTACTGCAACATAGATATATTTTCTGTCCATTGTGTCATTTGCATCGTGTCATTTGCATCGTGTCATTTGCATCTCCAGTCTAATGCAGATATGTTGGACAATAAATAAATATGAATTCTTGAGTAAACTTCAGCAGTCATGGGAAAAGGAGTCCTCTTGGGTAGATGCCATTGATTAAATACAAAATGTGTTTGTGGGGGATGAGAATCAACAGAACATTTTCACAAAACATTTTCAAGTGGATAAACAGTTGAATCCATCAAATGTTCTATATTAGTACTGGTTATTCATTTTTTTTTTGGACTATATAAGCCATTAGCACTTAGATATGAACTATGAACTGCTGATATATAATTTGTCAACTAATCTGGAACTGAACACACTCAAAACCATAGAAATTGTGGTAGACTTTAGGAGAAACCCTCCCATACTACCACCTCTTACAATACTAGACAACACAGTATCAACAGTAGAGACCTTCAAGTTTCTAGTGAAAGTAAGCTGAATAAAAATTTCCTTCTATCTAAGTGAAAGGAGAACATGTGTTAAATGTTCAGTGTCATTAAATGTCAAATAAAATGCATTAAGGCATGGGTGTCAAACTCGCAACGTCACGTTGTCATCACATGACATATCATGACTTTTTTCCCTTTTGCTAAAGCGGGGGTGGCCATAGCCAGCTCATGACGCATCCAGCCTGCAGGCCACCAGTTTGATACGCCTGCATTAGAGTATAAAGTCCCATCTCCCAATCATAGTTTCACACAGGGATTTCACTAATGGGAACTGTTTAGAAGATTAGCTTGAGATCACTAATATCTTCCATTTAATATCTAGAAGTAGAATCAGGTCTGGAAACACCCCTGATGATAATTGGGAATGGAAAAAATAAAATTGCCACTGTCATAAATTTATATAATTTTAAGGCACAACCATACTTAGGTTATTGAGTTCTTTGTAGTCAACCTCAAAGGTATCAGACAGGTGCCTTCTCTATAATAGACAAAAAGGAGTAATCAAAATGATCAGAAGGTAATTAATTTATGGAAAAAGATGTCCTAATGGCTAGTGGTTCAGAGGATTTTAAAAGAAATTAACAGGAGTTTATTATAATTCTTACAATAACAGAGTTGCTAATTCTATTTGTGGCTTTTTAACAGTGTTTTATTTGATCTAACAATTCCCTGATTTGCCAGTCTGAATATAATAAAGGCTCTAGGATGTTCCTAAACTCTAACATTAGAATCTGTTACCATTGGCTTCGCTAGATGATCTACAGAAACTAACAGATCAGCAAGGTTCTGTTCTTGAAAAATCAGTCAATGTCTTAGTGGATAAATGAGTCAGGAATGCTAATTCAGTCCTTAGGGAGCAAGGCTAGATTACTTTCAATCTCACTACTTACCAATTCACTCCTTGCCTCCATATTTGAATGACATGGGAATGAGCAAAAATAAGTTTCGTCTTATAGTGCAAATAATTTTTAAAAATACATTTACTGCATTTTTGGAGTTGCCACCCGCTTTCAAAGGCACCTAGAAAAACTGGGTTTGGGGACAGAATTCTTCCCTTGGGCTGACTAGCTGGTTCCACAAGAAACTGCCATCATTTATTCCGATACTAATTAGTACACACCTAGTTAAGTGTAACATGTTGTTCTCAGTTCAATCTACTCACAAAGCAGTTAAAACTTTCACGGTAGTTCTCTACAATATTTGTAGTATTAAAGATTATTGTACCCTATGACTATTATTAAGTGTTGTACCTTATGATTCTTGACTCTTTGACGAATGCATCTTTTCTTTTATGTACACTGAGAGCATTTGCACCAAGACAAATTCCTTGTGTGTCCAATCACACTTGGCCAATAAAGAATGCTATTCTATTAACTGAACTGTTTCTTAACATCAATAAATACCTAAACAGAAGCATTGAATATTAAGCATTTCTTTGATAGTAGGTTGCAGATAGTAGAAACCAGAGGAACCAACATTAATGGGGAACAAACTTGTCACTGAAAAGTGTGAGAATATTTGCAAAGTATAAAAGTAATCTCCTCTAGGAAAATGTGTCATGAGATGTATATAAATAACATTCTTAGAGATTCCTAAGCTTCAGCCTTGGATTTGGGAGTTGAGCCAAATCCTAATACTATTAGCATGAATTTCTTATTCAGTTATAAAAGATTCTGCTGGGACTACAAAGACTTCTCTGGATCAATTTTTCCATCATCATATTTCTGCCTCTTTGAGGGGATCCTTGGTGCTTTCTGAGCTTGGTTGTTTTCTTGCAGACATTTCATTACCCAAACTAGGTAACATCATCAGTGCTAATGTTACCTACTTTGGGTAATGAAATGTCTGCAAGAAAACAGCTAAGTTCAGAAAGCACAAATTACCCCTCATTTCAATTCTGATCTACAAATATTCTATTCTATTCTGTTCTGTTCTATTCTATTTGCTGTGGTTATAACCTGCTCCTCTCAATCCCAAACTATAAAGCAGGAGCAATATAATGTTTATATTCTGAGTGTACAAGGACTCCTGGACTTACAACTGTAATGGAGCCTGCCTGCCCATGATGGTCATAAGTTGTGACAGTTGTAAAGCGGGCAGTCCATATTTAAAAGTATTTTTGTGATGGTTGTTAAGCGAATTCAGTGGTTGTAAAGTGAACACCATTGTCATTAAACCAATGCAACAATTGTTAAGGTAACCCATGGTTTGCTCTGAGGCATATTAACTGAAAATCAGAAGCAAATAAATGTTTTTGGCAAAGAATCATAAATCACAGTCATATGACCTAGGATGCTGAAATGAGCCATGGTGGCATAGTTAAGAGCTGTGGTGGCACAGTGATTAGAAGAATGCAGTATTGTCTACAGGCTAATTGTGTTGACTGCCAACAGTTCTGCAGTTCAATTCTCACTGGCTGAAGGTTGACTCAGCCTTAAAATAAGGACCCTGATTGTTTGGGGCAATATGCTGACTCTGTAAACCACTTAAGAGAGAGCTGTGAAGCAGTACATAAGTCCAAGTGCTATTGCTAAATGGCCATTAATGCAGGCCATTTCCTGAGCTCCCAAAAAGCGGTCAGGTGGCAGCAGGGGGTGCAGCCTTCAGAACATCATCATGAGGACATAAGTGCCTTCTGGGGAGGGGGATGGCACTAAACAAGTGATCATAAGTCAAGGACTACTTGCATAAAGATGTAAATATTCTTTGCCCATCCTGTTTTAAAATGCACCTGTTTTCACAAGTCATTTGTACTTTCTACCTTGTTCTGGATATGGCCGCAACTAATGAAGGAAGATACGTTCATAATTCATTTGCCTCAAGTAAAACTGTTCTGCACTACCATTTTTGGAAATATGACTTCACAATGGTCAAGACACTTATTTGACACGGGGAAAAAACTTCTCTTGACATGCTGGTGTTGATAGATTTTGTGATTCTGATGCATGCTTATAAGGTTACTTAAGAAAGCCTTATTTATACATTCTTTTCCAATGACGGAATTATTATACAAGCCAAATCTCCCACAGCTTTCTTTTATGTACACATTTAAAGCAATCCCTCTCCACCCCAAATATTCCTTTACTTCACTTTTCCTCAACCCTATTTCTTCATTATGGATGACACCTGCTCTATTTTGGAGCCTGTTGCTCATTCTTTGTATTTGAGAATTGACATGTACTTGCACACATATGCACATGTGAGAAACAAAAAATTACATTTCTTTTGGTTGATGGGGACTTAAAGCTAGAAGTGCATCCATATAATTCAATTACTTGTATGTTTACAGCTATTGAAGTATAGTCTGCAGTTGTATGGAAAACTGAGCCAAATTACCTGTTGCACACAGGACTTTGCGTTGAGGAAAAAGAGTTCAACTGTGGTCTTATCCTTCAGAAACGAAATGCTTTCTATGTAAAATCTAAAAGAAATGGAAAGAGGAATAATTTTATTGCCTTGTAATCGTGCAGTTCTAAATCAAAGGTTAAAAACCAATGTTGTACTGCAAATCAGTTCAATTAATCCAACAATACTACGCAAAAACATTAGTACAATACGTAAAACAAAGGGGAAGGTTTATCAAACATATGTATTGTAAAAATCAGAATATTGTTTGAGTCAGCAAGAAAATTCACTCCCCAAAAGTATTTTTCAATGAAACCGTAAGGTATCACTGCAATAAAAAGTTGCAAGCTGAAAGAACCTATCCATATTACACCCACTTTTTAAAAGAGAGAGTAATCAAGTTGCCTACAAAATACATTTTTCTGATATTGTTGAGTATCTGATTTTTGAAATGTTTAGCAGAAATATACTGTAATAGATAAGAACAAATAGAAGAAAGAAGGGACAAGCTAGATTTAGAGAGATGCCATACCTATTAGGCTGCTTCATTTGGTAAATTCTGGGTAAAGGTTTTAGCAATATATCATGCTGACACCAGATGTTGTTCGTGGTAACTTAGCAGTAAGCTAGCTTATTTAAGACCCTGTTCTTATTAAGCTGAAAACCCAGATATTGAGTTTAGATCTGCTTATCTGGTTTTTTTACTTTCAAACAATAATCACATGGCGATTTGTACCACTGGACCTACTGTGACTTTAGGAGACAGCTAATTTGAAATTGGGAACAGAAAACAGCACTCAAAGGGAAAGCAATTTTGGTAATTCTGCAAATTAAAAGAAGGAACTCTAGGCTATAACATTCAAAATATACATCCAAATTTGTATGTAGCAATTCTTATTCACTGCACTATTATTTGCACCTGCTGAGAAGTCATTTTCAAAAGTGAAAATTATAAAAAGTTATCCATTCTCTTCCATAGCTGAAGGTGCTGGATTAGCGATGATCTCAACTGAAAATAACATTGGAAAGGCATTGGATGAAACTGATCTCATGGAAGAGTTTTCATCTAAAAGATCTCAAAAAGTTTCATGTCTGTAACTATTGCCTTGTTATTAAGTTGTCAGTTTGTGTTCTCTTCAGATAGCAGATGAAGATGTAAAAATAAGATGAAGTCCTATTATGAATATAAATACTGAAGAACATAATTTATTGCTTTGCTCTTTTCTTTCATTTAGGAAATTTGATAACAGTGGCTATGCCACATATTGAGAATTCTTAGGATAAAATCAGATATATCAGGAACAGTGCTGAGAGGTTATAAAAAGAGTTGCACAATTGCCCAGGGCCACAAAACTCTAAGGCCACCAATGGATATAATCAAGTGCTTTCTAATTATCATATCACAAATATTCTCCAAGACTTCCAAATATTCCACATTTGGAAGACTGCATCCAGTTTTGGTCACCACAAAACAAAAAAGATGCCGATGCCTTAAAAGAGTACAGAGAAGAGCAGCAAACATAATAAGGAGTCTGGAGGCTAAACTGGACAGTTAAGTCAACTAGGCTCGTTTAGCCTAACAAAGAGAAGGCTTAAGGCAGGGGTGTGAAACGCAAGGCCCGCAGGCCAGATGCGGCCCACAGGGTGCTTAGATCAGGCCCACAGGCCCTCCCTGGAAACAGCGAAGGACGTGGTGCCTCTGCCAGTGAAAACAGAGCTCGGGAGGGGCGTGGGCATCCTCTCTAAGCTCCATTTTTGCTGGCAGAGGATTGTAGGAGGCCATCAGGCTTAACGTGGAGCCAGGGTGGCTGTGCGTGGCCTCCAAGCTCCATTTTCACTAGCAGAGGATTCTTGGACTGAAAATGGAGGCCAGGCTGGCTGTGCATAGACTCCCCGAGCTCATTTTCAATGGCAGAGGATGCAGGAGGCCATCGTGGCTGAAAACAGAGCCTCAATGAGTGATGTCGAGCTGGCCACACACCCTCTGGCCATCCCCACCCAAGGTCAAATACAACCCTGATGCAGCCCTCAATGAAATCGAGTTTGACACCCCTGGCTTAGGGGATGACATGATAGCCATTTTCCAACCCTTGAAAGGGCTGTCACAGGGAAGAGGGGGGTTGGCTTGTTCTCCAAAACACCTGAGAGCAGGACAAGAAGCAATGGATGAAAGCTTGTCAGAGGGAGAGCCAAGCTGGAAATAAGGAATAATTTCCTGACAGTGAGAACGATTGATTAATGCAATAGCTTGCCATTCACAGTTGTGGGTGCTCCATTACTGGAGGTTTTCAAGTAAAGATTAGACAACCATTTATCCAGGATGGAATAAGGACTCTTGCCTTGAGCAGTGATTTGGACTGGAAGACCTCCAAGGTCCCTTCCAGCCTTATGATTCTATGATTCTGGGAGATTAACATCACATCAACATTGATTTCATTTCAGTATGTGAATTCTGGGGTTCTAAAGCTTGCTTCTCTTTCTGCAGATGTTTCCTTGCCAGACTAGGTAATATCATCAATGGATAGAGGTGATGCTGGGGGTAGAATTTTGCTGCCTGCATATATGTAGTACCTTGTCTTACCAGCATTTGCTGAAGTAATTTTTCTTCCCTGGTTGTTTTTTGGTTGGCACATATCCTGAAGCTTTGACAATAGTTCTTTTTCTATGGTGTTATTATTTTATTGTCTGTGCTGGAACCTTTAAAATATGGAGTTTGGAGGGAGATATTTTAGAGCACCTCCAACCAGGGGTGGGATTCTACAGGTTCTCACCTATTCACTAGAACCGGTCGTTAACTTTCTAAGCAGTTTGGAGAACCGGTTGTTAGAAGAAATCTTCTTTTGTTTTTTTCCACCCTTCTTGCATTCTGGGCAGTATGCCTAGACTTACTGTCTCCAAAGGAGGTGTTTTTTTCCTTTGGTGGTACTTTCTTAAAGGGGAAGGGTTGTTTTAAGCTTTTTACACTGCTGCTGGGAGAAAATAGTCCCCTGTTGCAGTTAGCACTTTGCAGAAATAATTGAATAACGAAGCAGAGCTGCCAGAAATAAGCTTTTAATGACAAGGAACCAAGATGAGTGACATTCAGCAAGGCTTCTTGGCTAGCTAGAAAGATTGACATTCAAATGTGAATTTACATACCCTTTTTGAGTTTTGGTTTAAAACTGGTGACCATTCAAAGTTACAATAGTACTGAAAAAAGTGACTTATGACCATTTTTCACACTTACAACCGTTGCAGCATCCCCACTGTCATGAGGCCAGGCGAGGATGTGAGTGATGTGAGTGATGTCGAGTTGGCCACACCCACCCAGTCACATGACCAGCAAGCCACACCCACCAACTAAGCCATGCCCACAGAACTGGTTGTTAAAAAAATTGAATCCCACCCCTGCCTCCAATCCTCTGAACATGTGAAGCTACAACACATATGGAAGAAGGAAGTTCCTCAAAAGGTTGTCTTTAAAGTTCACTTCAAAAAGCAGTAAAAACAGTAGCATACTGAGTCATAATCTTAAGGCTTAAATATAAAAATTACCACATTTGATGACATAGAATACTAGTTTGGAAGTGATAGGGAGATGTGACAAATACATGTTCATGCAAATGTCATCCTGTTAAAAAAAAATTTTTTAGTTTGTCCTACTTATTTTTCATTGATAATAAACAAAAACCCATTAATTCTTTTAAAAAACAACAACAATTGAAATTCCACAATGCAAATATATTTTGTATTGCATAACCATACTTACCTGACTGCAAAAAACAAAGTTGCCGGACCTGGTTTCTTAGGTAAATCATGATCCAGAACTCTATGGTCTAACTGTAGCCAGACATTGTGACCCCTGAAAAATTTCAAAACAGAACAGTAAACATAAGAAACCAATGCTTTTAATTCACACAGTTGAGACTATTTCTCTAGAAATGAAGTTGGCTAATTCTTCTGTTTTCCTCATTTCATTTATTTCCTGCCTTCATTGCAAGCGGAGATAATGTAGCATTTAGAAAGATGCAGGAAAGTGCAATCATACTCTTCCTCTTGATTAAGAACCAGTTAATGAGCTGAAATACAGGGAGACCTCTACCTTCAGCCAATCGTTTAGTGACTATTTGAAGTTACAACAGCATTGAAAAAGTGACTTATGACCAGTCTTCGCACCTATGACTGTCACAGTATCCTAATGGTCATGCAGTCAAAATTCAGGCGCTTGGCAACTGGCGTGTATTTACTGTATGATGATTGCAGCATCCCTGGATCACGTGATTGCCATTTGTGATCTTCCCAGCCATCTTCTGACAGGCAAAGTCAATGGGAGAAGCTGAATTTGCTTAACAACTGCATGATTCACTTAACAACTGTAGTGATTCACTTAACAACTGCAGCAAAAAAAGGTTATACAATCAGACATGATTCAGTAATAACTGCTTAGCAATGGAAAATCTGGTTCCAACTATGATTGTAATCAAGGACTACCTATAGGATTGTGAACAGGGCCCAGAATGATATATAGGAGTAATAATTGCCACAGACATAATTGGTGCAGCTTTCTTAGAGAGTCTAAAGTGGCAGCCGACTGTCCATTAAAATACAAGATGCATTAATAGTAGTTCCAAATGTGATCAGAGACTCGAGATATAATAAACTGATTATCAAATGTTTATAAACTGGTTTCCAAATTGTTTGTACCACTTAACCACTTCTTAATAACTGATTGACAATATTGCTGTCTTCATGAAAAAAAAAAAAAAGAAATTAGTTCAATTGAATTAAAACTAGAATTGTTCTTATTAGGTATAAGAGGACCTAACATCCTAGCAGGAATCTCCAATACGTCATACTTCATATAGTAACCACTGCCAGGATCTCATTTGCTCAAAATTGGAAACAGGATACCATTCCCTCCGAGGCAGCAATAATATGAAAGAGCCTTGAATGCACTGAAATGGACGGGCTAACAATGATATTAAAAGATAAAAGAAGAAATAGAGTACAATAAGATATGGAACCTTTGGTATGAGTGGTTAGGAAGTAGACACAAAGGCGTCAATCAATAGCAAAAATGAGAAAATAATAATCAATGTTGTATGTATGTATATATGTGTGTGTGTGTGTGTGTGTGTGTGTGTATGTATATGTATAATATATGTATATAAGATTAAGAAATAAGAATATAAGTGAAGAGAATGAAGAAGTAATTGATATAGCCATAGATTATATTAACCAGTGTGAACACCGTTATAGAATTGTTGTAAAAAGTGGAAATTGTTTTTTAAATGTTCAAATGTTGAATAAATAAATTTATATGTATGTGTGTGTGTGTGTATGTATCTCTCTCTCTCTCTCTCTCTATCTATCTATCTATCTATCTATCTATCTATCTATCTATCTATCTATCTATCTATCCATCCATCCATCCATCCATACATCCATACATACATATGTGTGCGTGCATATGCAGGTTTTGGCGTGTTCGGGTCTTTTCCCATGTAAGATTGAGAGTATCTTGGCGACGTTTCGACGAGGTCCCACTCATCATCTTCAGGCTGGTGCTTTTGGCTTTGTGCTTGTGTGAGTAAAGCGTGATCGAAGCTGCTGTCTCTCTATAAATACTGGTGGGGAGGTGTGGTATGCTGGCTCTGTTGTAAGCTGGCTGGTTGGCTGCGTTGTTATTTCTTGATTGGTTGATGGAGTTGATGTTTGCAGATTGGTTGGCTTTTTCATAAGAACCTGTGTGGCTGAGGTACTGGCTGTGTGTCTATCAGCCTCCTGTGTTGTAACGACTTGGGTAATGGGCTGTGTGATGACCTTCTGAGTTCTATTGTTGTGACATCCTGGGTCTTGTGCTTTAATCATCTGTCTGTTTTGTGGCTTTTTTTGTCTTAATTGGCTGGCAACATTGTGTTTCCTATATTAGAGGCTTTTAGTGCGGCTTGGCTCTGAGTAAATGGACGGCTATTATTTATTAGGAAGCTAGGTTTCATCTGGGTGCCTGGTTGGGGTGTGTTTGAGCTGAAGGTATCAGGGGGGATCTGTTTGTGCCCAGGTGTTTGCCTGGCTTGTGGTGTGGAGATTTTTTTTGTGTGATTTTTTTGTTTGTATATATGTATGTATGTATGTGTATATATGTATGTATGTATGTATGTATGTATGTATGTGGTATTCAGCTTTGTTCGGGTATTTTCCCACAATACAGAAGCCTAATGATGGCAGATGAGATTCTGCCGAAACGTACCTACAACTTTAAAAGCACAACTATAATGACGTGGGAAAATACCCGAACAAAGCTGAATACCATACATGTAAGTACCCGCGAAAACTTAAGAAATTAGGATTTAAGTTCTTGAGCAAAGGAATTACCAGCCTTCAAAGTCCTATTATATAGCACATTATAAAATCAAAACAAACAGAAAGGCAAAAGCCGTGCCTTTTTTACAATTTCATATATACCAGTGGGCAGGACACTGTCTCAGTGGTTAAAATGTTGGGCTTGTCAGCTGGAAAGCCAGCAGCCCAGGTTCAAGACTCAAGCACCATGCAAGGGGGTAAGCTCCCATCCTCCTGCCAACCTAAGAGTTTGAAAGCATGCGAGAAGATAAATAAGTATCACGTAAGTGATAGGGAAACAGTGCTGCTGGCTCAATGGCCTTGAAACAGAGCTTAACACTGTCCCCTATAGTTGGCAACAACTAGCAAAGTAAAAACTGAAAGGAGTCTTTTATCTTTATTTTGTATACACCAGAAGAATTAGGCATTCTCATTATTACTAACTAGATATGAAAAAGTTGTAATCCAATCTATCTGGATACCACTAGGTATGGAATGGTGTTTCAATCTTCATTTGTTCTTTTCACATCTACATTTTACAATGGCCAACAATTAATTCGTAGATGAATTTTTTGAGAGGAAAAAATAAGCATGAGGGAAAGAAAGCCTTCACCATTAAAGTGTATTGTTATTATTATTCATTGGTGCTTTGACCGAACAGTATCTGTGTTACTAAGTCGCACACTCTGCCTGATAGAAAAAGTTTAAGTGGCATCTTCTGCTACAATAGGGATTTTTTTAAAAAAAAAAAGGATTTGACTGCCCTCTGGAGGTTGCAAATTGATAATCTAACACAAAAGGAATGTAACATCTTTTCTGAACTAGAAAGTTATTAAGACAGAGAGAGATTTCCTCTTATGTTCAGACTTATGTTCAGACTTATGTTTTTAGGAACTTTTTCTCAAATAGGAGCAAATGTACCAACACCTTCAAAATCTATTTGACTGAATTTACCTGGTGTAGAAAAGTTGAGAACATCCAGCAACAACTAATCAATTATTCACATAGCAGAAAATATATGCAAATATGCATACAATTTGTTTTGCTTACATACAGTATGCATGTCTGTGTGTCTAACAAGTGAAATCAAGAAATTTTGGAAGAGAAACTATAGAGGAAGATTGTCAAATTTGATGATTGATTGAGGGGACATAATAACTGTCTTCACTGAGGGGGCTGTCACAGAAAATTGGTCGACTTAGTCTCCAAAGCACCTGAAGGTAGGCCAAGAAATAATGGGGGTGGGGGGAGCTTGTTAAGAGAAATTCAAGGAGTAAGGAGAAATTATGACAGGGAGAACAATTAATTAATGAAACAGCTTGCCTTCCAGAATAGTGGGTGCTCCATTATTGGAGGTTTTCAAAAGTCGACTGAACATTTGACTGGGGTGATATAAGATCTCCTGCCTAGAAGACTTCTGAGGCCTTTTCCAACCCTTTGATTCTATGTTCTGTAGTGCTTCATTATTTCATGGCTGCATCTTCCCTGCTCTAAATCCTCCCCCTATCCCTGCATATGAAGAGGGAAGCATCAACTAAGCAATCCTATGTGTGTAAACAGCATGAACATTAAGTTGGAGTGAAATAATAATAATTGGAGGAGAACTATCTAACCAGCCTCTTCCAATGCTTGAATGCATTTAGCTTAGCTTTCTCCAATCTGAATGTCCTCCAGATGTACAGACTTCAACTCAAAAATCTTTTAACAGCGGGCCAGCTGGCTGAGCTCTAAGAGTTGTAATCCAAATATCAGGCTGGGAAAAGCTATGTAATCCCTAAGAAATGCTGTTCAGTAGGTGTCTGAAATATATAAATAATGTTAGCACCACACTGACCTAGACTGACCTGGAAAAAGTTGAGCTGGATAATCTAACAATAAAGCTAAATGAAAGTCATAGAAGTTAGCGCTATGCATATCCAGAAAGCAATATTTTTTTGCTACAATCATAAAAGAAGCAAACAGGAGGCAAATTCTATACTTTGAGAACTTCAGTCAATAACTGAAGGCTATGAAATTATCTAAAAATAAATCTGGAAATGCCAGTACACATTTTGACTATTCAAGTGGTTTAAAAGTAACTGCATGATGTACTTACATATCATCTATGAATGTTATCCCAAAATATTCCTTTTCTTTGAGGTTGAAATGCGAAGCCACCAAATCCAATAATTCCCGTGACAAAAGTTTAGGCTATAGGCAAAAAAAAGGTATGTTATTCTTGCAATTTTTGTGTTCAAAACAATAATATCAAATTATCCTCCCTCTTCCCTTCATCTTTCTAGAACAGGGGTGTCAAACTCAAGGCCTAGGGGCCAGATCTGGCCTGCGGAATACTTAGATCTGGCCCACGGGCCACTCTGAAAGCAGCGAAGGACCGGCCCAAGGTGCTTCTGCCAGCGAAAGCAGGGTCCCGGGCTCGGTTTTTGGCTGCCACAGCTTCCTACAACCCTCTGCCAGTGAAAATGGGGCTCGGGAGGGCCACATACAGCCCTCCGAGCTCAGTTTTCACTGGCAGAAGGTTGCAGGAGCTCAGGAGCTTGTTTTTGCCGGCAGAGTGCTTGGGCTACCACAAGCACCCCGACATGAGTGATGTTGAATTGGCCACACCCACCCGGGCCATGCCCACCTCAGCCTGCCAAGGTCAAACACAACCCTGATGTGGCCCTCAATGAAATCGAGTTTGACACGCCTGTTCCAGAGTCTCAATATCTTTTTTATAGTGTGGTGACCAAAACTAGATGCAGTACTCTAGGTGTGGTCTTACTAAGGCTTTATAGAATGGTACTAGCACCTCACTTGATGCATGATTTCTCCAAGCTTGTGTCTAACCATTAAAAAGAAATTCTGTTGCTTTAATTAATCACAGAGAGGTGTTACACTGGCCCAAAGTTTAAAACATTCCTTTCAAATAATTTTTAAAGAATGATCATTTGCTCTGCTGTCAATTGCCGAATCAGTGCTGCAGAAACAATAAAACTAAAATTGTCTCACCTGAACTAGTAGCTCCAGCTTCCTATCATCCAGAAGCTGTACTTGGCAGTGTCTCCCTTCGGTCATCTGTAAAACAGATAGAAGAGCATTAATTGTAGAACAGTAATGGAATCTCGCTCCAAAGGTATACCATATAGGTCCATTTGTATATATATATATATATCTGTTTGTAGATGCCCATTTACCAAGATTGTCCTCAACTTACAATCACAATTGGGACCGGAATGTTAAATGCCTGGGAAATCAGGAGATTCAGGGCAGTTCAAATGAGTATAAAGATTTATTGCAAGCTTAAATTCTCTATAAGAATCTGGCCAATTGACCATTAAAGGGAAATGTGCAGGAGTTAACAATAGAAAGAAAGTCAAGGCAGGCTGGACTTAGATCTCTTGTGAGCACGAAGGGACTTGTAACTTATGATGCGTTTGACTCCTCCCTCAAGTTCAGCCTTGTCATCCCCTACACAGAATTTCCATTGTTAAGCAGGGCAGGTTTTAAATAGGTCACGCCTGATTTTATGACTTTTTTTGGCCATGGTTGTGAAGCAAATCACTGCAGTTGTTAACCGAATCACACATTCGCTGAACAAATCAACTTCCACCATTGACTAAAGCATGTTGGAAGCTGACTGGAAAGGTTGCCAATGGTGAACATGTGACTCCAGGATGCTGCAGCCATCGTACATACATGACAATTGCCAGCCACCTGAATTTTGTTCACGTGACTGTAGGGATAAGGTATGAGATGGCCGTACGTATGAGATGGTCGTAAGTCTGAGGACAAGTTTTAAATCATTTTTTCAGTGCTGTTGTAACTTTGAACAGTTGCTAAATGAATGATTGTAAGTTGAAGACTACCTATATAGGCATATGCACCCACACATACAACATCGTAACAATATTGCTCTTTCCTTCATTTCTGATCTAATTCAGTTTTTATCTCATGATTTTGTTGTCCAGGCTTCAACTGAAAGTATTTCACACATGGTTTGTGGTAGTCTAAGTGGTTCAAATGATTTAATTATGAGATTTTTGTCTCATCTATAAACTGCACCTCAATGGTTGCAATGGGAGGATCTGTTCTGGATAAAAAAAAACCTTCCTTTCTCACCACCCCAGCCCAATTCATAAACAGTAATGGGAATCTTGACTGAAATCCAAGGTATTGTCCTCCAGGCACTTGTTCAAATTTCAGTTCCGAATACAACTTCCCGATGTTCTTACGTACGAAACAAGCGGAGAATGTATGGGCTTAATCAATGTGATTTATAAATTATGATTTCTAGCTTGGTGAAATAAGTTATAAAATCAGCATACTGATACTTTTTATTTATCTAAAATGGACTGTGTTATGCACTGGGACAACGTTCCCCAGTCTACATGCAGAGATTCCAGGATTAGATAATACTTCAGAAATGTACGGTCAGGCAAAGGTGGAGGAGTGGGCTGCTGGAGGTTCACAGGGGTTTGGGAGATCCTCTAGCTAAGATTCTGCACAGTTCAGAGAATCCCTAAACCCCACTCCTAGCTATATTATTTATTTATTTATATTTATTTTTGTCAATTGCTTACAAGATAATAGGTATAAATAAAAACATAGTTATGAATACATGGATACATATAAGAAAAATAAAAAAATAAAAGAAACAATAGGACAGGGACGGTAACCACATTGGCGCACTTATGCACGCTCCCTACAGACCTCTTAGGAAAGGGGTGAGGTCAATAGTAGACAATCTAAGGTTAAAGTTTTTGGGGTTTGGGGAAGAAACCACAGAGTCAGGTAGAGTATTCCAGACATTGACCACTCTGTTGCTGAAGTCGTATTTCCTGCAATCAAGTTTGGTGAGGTTTATCTTGAGTTTGTATCTATTGTTCGCTCTTCTGTTGTTATGGTTGAAGCTGAAGTATTCATTTGCAGGTAGGACATTGCAATGTATGATTTTATATACTATACTTAGATCGGACCGAAGGCGGAGTAGTTGTAGGTTTTCTAGATCTAGAATTTCAAGTCTGGTGGCATAAGGTATTCTACAACGAGTAGAGGAGTGGAGAACTCTTCTTGTGAAATATTTCTGGACTTTCTTAACTGTGCTAATATCAGATATGTAATGTGGGTTCCAGACTGATGAGCTGTATTCAAGTATTGGTCTAGCAAATGTTTTGTATGCTCCAGTTAGTAGTGTGATATTACCAGAGAAAAAGCTATGTAAGATTAGGTTAACAACTCTTAACGCCTTTTTGGCTATGTAGTTACAGTGGGCTCTAGCACTTAGGTCATTAGAGATGAGTACACCAAGATCCTTGACAGAGTTTGGATCATCAACAAGGTCTTTACTATTCAGCCTGTATTTTATTTTCTGATATTTTTTTTGCCAATATGTAGGACAGAGCATTTATTTTTGAGATTTGAAATTGCCATTTGTTTGACCATTCTGATACATAGTCAAGGTCTTTTTGAAGGGTAGCAGTATTGTCTGTGGTGTTGAATAGCTTTACATCATCAGTGAAGAGAACGCAATTGCTCTTGATATGATCACAGAGGTCATTTATGTAGAGTATGAAAAGAGTTGGTCCCAGAACACTGCCTTGGGGGACACCACTGTTGACAGGTACAGAATTTGATAGGATGCTCCCAATTTTGACCATTTGTTGTCTGTTTGACAGGAATGCTTCTATCCAGTTATGCAGGTGTCCAGAGATATGGTAATATTTTAGTTTTAGGAGTAGTTTGTCGTGTACCACTGAATCAAAGGCTTTACAGAAGTCTATGTAGATTGCGTCTATTGCTTTGCCCTGATTGAGTTGTGTAGTCCATATGTTTTTGTAGTGTAAGAGTTGCAGATTACATGATAGTTTTTTCCTGAAACCAAATTGTTTATTAGAGAGTAGGTTGTTTGTTTCTAAGTGGAGGATGATGGATTGGTTAATAATTGATTCCATGACTTTACAGGTGATGCAGCATAAAGAGATTGGTCTGTAATTTTCAACTAGGCTGGGGTCTCCCTTTCTGAAGATGGGAATGACCATGGCTTGTGACCATAGTTTTGGCAAGGAGCTGGTCCTGAAATATTTTTCAAAGATTATGTTTAGAGGTTTGGCTATGGCAGTGCATAGCTTTTTTAAGAAGTAGGCATATATTCCGTCCGGTCCAATAGATAGAGATGGTTTTAGATTGCGTAGTGCTTTTTCAACATTGTCTTCTGTAAAATTGATATGTATTAGATCATTGTAGTTGTCTGTGGTTCGACTAGGAAATACTGGGCATGATCCATTGCTATTTACAAATACTGAGCCAAAGAATGTGTTAAAAAAGTTGGCTTTAATAGTGTCGTTGTTACAGTCTTTACCATTAGGTCCTTACAGGGGTGGAATGGACCTTGAGTCTTTTAGTTTGTTGTTTATAAAATTGTAGAAAGCGCGGGTGGAATTGGTGCATAGAAGGTTTTCTTCTTGTTTAATGTGATAATTGGTGCATTCAGTTTTTATCTGGTGGCATAAATTTTTGTATCAGCTTTTGAAGTTGGCAACGTGACCAGATTTGTTTTTCTGCCAAAGTGATTTCTTTTTGGATTGAAGCTTCCTTATTGTTATGAGTAATTTGTTTTTTTCTGGTTTTGGGAGTTGTTAATGGTACATATAGTTTGATGACTCTTTTGACTTCAAGTAAAAATATGTTGTAATGGTCTTCTACAGTATTACATCCAGTGAATAGAAATTGCCAATCAAGGGATGAGAGATCGTTGTTTATAAGATCATAGTTGCCCTTTTGAAGTTATAATTGGGGATTCTGTCATTGTGATGATTTTTGTGTGGAAGTATGTTGAGACAAAAGTTTATCATGTTGTGGTCACTGTTGGAAAAGGGTTCTTTAATTTGTATTCCATAAATTGAATTCAAACTATTGCAGAAGATGAGATCGAGGCAGTTGTTAAGTCTAGTGTTGTTGGTTACTAGTTGTTCTAGTCCCAGATTTGTTACTGCATTGTAGAAGGTTACATGTGTGGGTTCAGTTGTACATTCGTTAAGGGTCCCGTTAATATGAGGTAGATTGAAGTCACCAAGAAAGATAAAAGCGTGTGGGCAGGATGCTGCCCATGTTAGTAGTTATTTAGTTATTTATGTTATTTAGCTTGTTTGCATGTTCGATGTCTGTAACATAGTAAGAACCAAAATGTGATATTTAAGGACAGTTCACAGACGATGGTCTCAGGAATAGCAAGCTCCTGGGTAACTTGGATGTTTTTTAGATATAAGGACTTTTTATAGAAAATAGCAACGCCACCTCATCTACGGATTTCATGATCTGATCGGTAAACATGATAGTCTATTACTGTGGTAATGGAGTCAGGGAGAGATGCGTTGAGCCATGTTTCACAGACAAATATAATGTCGAATTTAGCTGTATTTAGTAAGAGGAGAAATTCAGGTATTTTATTTACAAGGCTTTTTGCATTGAGTAGCTTGCATTTAAGGCCAGTTGTGGTTGGAATAGAGGTAGTTAGGGGCGTGCATGCCTAGTTTTGAGTGATGTTGGATTGGATGGGGTGGGGTTGGATGCGGAGTTGTGGGTTGTGTGACTTTTTTTTTGATGCAATCAGCTCGGTAGTCAATGTATAGATCCTTTTCTCCATTGTCTAGATGGTTTTTGAGATCTTCACGGAGTTCACGGGAGTGGATTCTTTGCAGTATGGATAAGCCTGGTCTTGAGCGAAGTTTTTTGTGGTTGGGATTGGTTTTTGCAATGGTGTTTATTGTATGAATGAATATGTATTTGCTGGATACATAACTCTACAAAATCTTGGGGCCACAGAGCCGTCATTGCATTTGTACCCAGAGGCATCTCTGGTTATTTCAATGATATCTTCAGGAGAGATGTTTGTTGTATTAGAGTTGCTTATGATATCGCAAACTTTGGTGATGCTAGTCCCACCCACCCACCCCGCCCCTCATTGGAGTCCACACACTCCAATTGGATGCAGGTAAGTGCAGGGCATGCGTGGAGGCTCAGGGAGGGTGAAAAATGGGCCTCCCGGAAGTTTGGGAAGGCCAGAAACAGGCCCATTT